GTTGACAGTAGTCACACAGTAATGTATTCTTAGTTACAGGACTACAGTTAAGATGTTACTAACGATATCCGATTGTTGACAGTAGTCACACAGTAATGTATTCTTAGTTACAGGACTACAGTTAAGGTGTTACTAACGATATCCGATTGTTGACAGTAGTCACACAGTAATGTATTCTTAGTTACAGGACTACAGTTAAGATGTTACTAACGATATCCGATTGTTGACAGTAGTCACACAGTAATGTATTCTTAGTGACAGGAGTACAGTTAAGTGTTACTAAATTCCATTCTTCATGTAACTAAGAATGCATTACTGTGTGACTACTGTCAACAATCGGATATCGTTAGTAACAACTTAACTGTACTCCTATCACTAAGAATACATTACTGTGTGACTACTGTCAACAATCGGATATCGTTAGTAACACCTTAACTGTACTCCTGTCACTAAGAATACATTACTGTGTGACTACTGTCAACAATCGGATACCGTAGAATCCCAGTCTTCATTAATAGTTGTATGTTTTATCTAACATTCCTTGTAGAACAAGGAATGTTAGATAAAACATACGACTATTAATGAAGACTGGGATTCTACAAGGAATGTTAGATAAAACATACGATATTAATGAAGACTGGAATTCTACAAGGAATGTTAGATAAAACATACAACTATTAATGAAGACTGGAATCCTAAAAGAATGTAAAGTAAAAGTACGACTATTAATGAAGACTGGGATTCTACAAGGAATGTTAGATAAAACATACGACTATTAATGAAGACTGGGATTCTACAAGGAATGTTAGATAAAACATACAACTATTAATGAAGACTGGAATTCCACGATAATGGGATTTAAAGGACAAAACTACTTTTAACTTATAAACCGTTAATTACTACACGTCCTAGGAATTACCAAGTTTTATACTGCTGTCTCTCAATAGGTAGTTTTACAACACAGAAAGCTCTACAACTCTCAGCCAGAAGTTTTACAATATAGTAAATCTAAAACCTCCAAATTGACAGTTTTAAAAGCTAGAAATTCAATTATCGGTAGGTAGCTTTAAAACCTAGAAACTCAACAACTCTCAGTAGGTAGTTTTACAACTAAGAAACTCAACAACTCCCAGTATGTAGTTTTAGAACCTAGGAATTTAACAATTCTTAGTAAGTAGTTTTACAACCTAGAAACTAGACAACTCTCAGTAAGTAGCTTTTGAACCTAGAAACTCAACCACTCTTAATAGGTAGTTTTAGAACCTAAAAACACAACAACTCTTAATAGGTAGTTTTTAGAACCTAGAAACTCGACAACTCATAATAGGTAGTTTTATAACTTAAAAGCACTTAGCCACTTCTACAAGGTACTCAGTTAAATGGTAATTTACATGTGTTTTTAATAACAATTTCAGGATTACAGTTTTAACAATGAACAAAGAATCGAAGCTGCTTTAAGTACACTTTAGTTTACAATACAATTTAAAGTCGTGTCACGTTAGAACTTGTCACGTGGTCTTTGAAATCGATGAGAACTCGTTCAACAGTTTATTCCCATGACTAACATCTTGTCCCTGAATCTACGTCACACCTGGTCTTGTACGTTAAAAAATAGAATATCATGCAGGTGATTTTACGATGTCTTTAAGATCGCGAAAAACATATGTTGTCAATATTTCGTTCCAATATTCTGGAGGATAACTGACCAATACATAAATAAAAACATGAACGAAATTAATCACACAGTTTCATAGCTGATAATAGTTTATAAAATAATAATTATTATACTGTAATAGCAGCGACAAAATACGTTATTTGCAGGAGTTTTAAATTTCATATTTCCTTTATATGTTGAAATAAAAAATTTAGAGTTGACTTTTTGTTGAGTGTGGGTGTATTGTCTAATAAAACCCTAAGACATTGCGTGTAGTGTGGATATGTTTCCAACAAATCCAAAAGAAATATTGTGTCGTATTGGAACCTGTAAAAAATATGTTTAATGTTTAGGTGAATAACTACTGAGATAAAAAGTATCTGCTATGTCTCCAGACAATAATCGCAACTTCAATATGGTTGCTTGTATTTTTAGTTGAACAGTAATGGTGGCTATTCTCCTAAAATGACCAGTAGCACAAACCATTCAGCCACCCCAATGAGCTGGCTTGAAGTGTAGTGGGACCTTGTGGAATGTTTTTAAAACCAATCACGTCCCACCGAGATGCAGCTCGTGACAAAAGGAGCCGAGCCCCATATACAGGAAAGCCCCGAGGCATGTTCAGTAATAAACGAAAGAACCTCTGTTACTGACAGCAGTCGGCTGCTTCCACCGGGTTATCGTTTGAGGATGAAAGTTAATTCTCGGAGGAAGCACAACAGCCATAAATGGCCTTAATACGAAACAACTACTCTCGTGGGCTGCTGTGTAGATGGATATGATAATTGGGGTTGGGTCAAACGCAAATATTTTCAAGCAGTCTTGGAACTACCAACTCCTACCTTATGACGACGATCTAACGAGCAAGTACAGAGATGTAAATATATTACTGGCATTTTGACTACAGAGTATTAGCACAGACTACTCGATCATACATTAACAAAACACTTAAATCAAATACTAGACACACCTCATGAAACAGATGCTATCAATGACGTTACAAACCACCTGCTTCGCGTTTCGAAGCAAGTCACGGTCGTTCACGCGATGAACGCGCACCTTGGCCTCGACAGCAGCTGCAGACGGATTGTGATAGGACCGGAAGTAGTCTATGTGTTTTTGAGACCCCCCTTTCCCCTCAGGTGTTTTGGGCAAATCTCAAAAATAAAATTCTCAGCTAAATTTCAGATTGACTCTGCTAAAGACTTGAAACATTTTTTTGGTTAAACAGACTAACCCGCATGATTCATCAAGTCGTTAACATTTGACCAACTGCTGTGGATAACGATCAGCAAAGTAATAAAACATGTTTAATAAAGAAATAAATACGTCATTCCCAATCACTGGGTCAGTTTTTAAAAGAAATTTACATACACCACAGTTTTTATTGGTAATTCGAAATAAAACAAAATTAGCCCCCCAGTGGCACAGCGGCATGTCTACGGACTTACAACGCGAGAATCCTGGTTTCGTTACCCGTGGTGGGCAGAGCACAGATAGCCCATTGTGTAGCTTTGTGCTTAGCTTCAAACAAAAAGAATTACAGGTTACCACAGTTTCTCCTATCCCACGCAAAAGGAAACATCTCTGCTAAACAGTAATAATCGACTCTGACATCAACAAATATTAAAAAAAAAAACGTGCTTTTAGTTCACTGGTTTTATCAACAGGTGGAAATTCAATATCGTAAAATTTACATCGCAATATTATTCACACAGTTAATATATATAACTGTTAATTACATGATCTTATAAGAATCTAAAAGTAATTTAATCCTTTATCGCCGTGAATAACAAATAAATGGTAAAACACAGGAATAAAAGAAATATTTACTACTTTTTAAATAAAATCAAAAATAATACTTTAAAGCCGTGCGATATAGCTGGCAAGAAGTGTCTAAAAACCTAATCTACCCAGTATCCAAAATAACACATTAGGGATAATCTTTAAGTTATTGGTAAGGAAAGGTTAAAGTTACCGCCCTTACCCCCCGTACTTTTAGCGAATGCGCTACCCCCACCCCACCCTCACGACTATACGCACGTGACCGAGTTAGCATTAAATGAAATTGGAACACCGATTCACGGTAAAGTGATCTGTTAAATGACGTCAAAGTCACCCTAAAACTTCACAATTACAACATATATATAGAAATATTAATGCTCGTCCCAAACAAAATTGGTTTATTCAAAAATCCTGATTTAAACTGTCAAACATTTCATGCTGAATTTCCGAAAAACATAGTGAAACAACTACCAACATAAAGGTAGTATTCACGGAAAGATGTGATCTCATAAATTTGGTTGTCATGGTTATGTAGATTGTACAAAACACACACAATTCTCTGAGATGTGGTTTATCGTAAGTTATATTCTTTAATCGTACTTTGTACTTTATAGGTTATTATTTCGAATCTCAATTTGTTTACATCTTCTGACTCAAGCCACCGACTATGATAAAGACGTTATTTATAAGTTTTTTGTCATGTTATTATTTCGAGTCGTAAACTATAAACTTTCAATACTTTATCACAGAATCAGCCGAAGTTTAATGGCAAACCTAGGACTAAAGTTCTCTCTTTTTTTTCCCTCAAGACTATAACGAATCAGACGTAAACAGTAAACTTCATGTATCATGTTGTAGTGGGTTTCTTGAAACCAAGATTGGGTAAATCAGATTACCGCCTAACAATGTGTATTAGGTGTACCTGTGAGATCTAAATGTTTGTTAACCCTAAAATGCCAGCGTTAAATTTTCAATCATTAACGCCAGGTGGTATGAGGTCATAGTGACCCCTTGCTGCCGTTCTAGGGTTAAGGACTTCTTGAAAGCTTAAGATGTATATTTCTCATAACAGATAAACACTCGTTTTGGAAGATAAAATGTGAAATTGATTTTGCTGTCAACTCATTTTCGGGAGAGGAGAAAGTTGGGTTTAAGTCCGTTATTCTGTATTCGATACCCTCAAAGTAATCTTTTTTTTCAGTCTGTTTACTGGTCTGTAAGGTTAAATATTTTTCTTTAAATTTAAAAAAAGATTTCACAGTGTTAGACCTCATGCCAACAAACAGAAGAAAAGTAGCTGCTACGTGAGTATGTTTCTAGCCAGATGGCGGCACCGGTTGAATGCAGGGGCTAATAGTAGTCGAGCGCGCTTTATTCACTGGTAGGAATTCCCACGGTCTGGGATGTCGGTGGGGTGGGGGTGAGGGAAGAATAGACGGGTAAGGCGTAGAGGAAGGTCTCTTAAGCAGGACATTGTGTTTTAGTTTCCGTCACAATGTACTTAAGTAGCTACCATCACAGCTACGTCACACACTTCCTAAAATGCTACACATTCTAGATCGTTTTTCTCTTAATTCACGTGCTCGTGGAAACTGTAGTTTTAACTGAACTTTAAACAGTGATGCCAGTTTGATTGTTATCTTTTGCTTTAGTTAAAAAAAGTTAAGTTTAGACTTCATAACGAAACATCTGAAGTAGATTGAATCATTTTACAAAAGTATGTTACGGTTAGGGTTAACGTTTAGGATTAGGCTTAATGTTTAAACAATGGCTATAAATTTTTAAAAATGCTAAAAAATACAATTTTTCAAGAACTTTATAACTTATAAAATTAATTCGGTTCAGTATGAAATTCGGAGATCCCTTAACAGCAGTACTGTATATTTATCAATTTAAATGTTCAAGAAAATAATAATAATCAACGACTGAACATTATCAACACTACAGTCATCATCAACTGCGATAAAAAAATAAATAAATTTATACTGGGCCATACCAGCAATCTCAATCATAACCAGTTATGATAAGACCAGAGACAATTCGCTTTCGATCGCGAAAATCTTGATCAGTCTAAACAGAAGTAAAATAAAGATCAGAACCATCAACAAAGGTCACAAACGTTTCGCCCTAATCACAATGATCACAAAGTATGAGTGATAAAAAGTGCTGGGATGTTTGGGCCTAAACGTACGCTTGTCTGCCTTTCCTTCTGAACGAACAAAAAGTGATTTAACAAGTACAACACACGTTCAACTACCGAGTCCTTGGGAGTTTTTAGCCATATTGCAGCGCATCTTTTCAACGGGCAAGTCTTTACCTGTGAAGTACTTACTGTTCGTTGAATTTTAATGAAAAGTACCAATTTCACATTGTGTTAAAAAAACACGCACAACTGGACCAAAATATTTATATCAAACAATTGTTCAGAAAGTGAACTATTTTTGCAGTGCCTATAGAAGTTTCGTGTGATTATTATAACAATCTCCACAACGGTTTTTCTAGAACAATGGTTCTCAACTGGGGTACAAAATTACTTCCAAGGGGTACAGGGCGGCGGTTCGGCATAGTAGTTACACATCAGCGCAGCCCAAACAAACGCTGATGGCGTCACTGTAGGGGTACATGATAATGTTGAAAATTAATAAGGGATATATTACTGAAAAAGGTCTAGAACGACCATTCTGGGGTTATACTGTTTGGAAGAGCTTTACAAGGTTTTGTAGGACTATCATAACAACCTCAACAAGATCTTTTATAAGGCTACAAGAGCTCTTTATAAACAACGGTATCACCCAAGCACCGAGCGACAGCATTCTGTTACCTTAAAACTAATGGACGGTTGGTTATAAACTGTGTAAAAACGAAGCAAGTTGTAATCATAAACCAGAGCTACCATACGCGATATTTGGACTCGTAGATTAAAGTGTTCATCAGGAAGAAAATACTACAATAAAAGAACAGCGTACCTACGATTCTCATTAGAATAAAAAGTTCGTCACATACTGAGAATCAATGACTATTTCGGAGGTCTGTTGTGACATGTGGTCACGTCCTTCACGCTTCAGTAGCCAATCTCCAAAAGATCCAACGTTTATTCAAAACGTTAAGAATTAATATGAAAAGGTGTACATTTTGAATGTTAAAAGACCGTATATGTGTTCATAATTACCTAAAACATTACTTATTGAATTATACCTTAAGTAACACAAACCAACTCAATAAATCAAAAAGAAGCGTTGTAATGTATAAATGTACAAATAAAAGAAAAAACAAAATTATGGCACAAACTTCTTTCAAACACTATACAAAAGCAAACTCTTGGGCGTCACCAGAAATATTTCACAGGGAAATGATCTGAAACCAATAACACATGTAGGCCTTAGCAGTCTAGCACATGGTTCATATTAAGGTTCGTGTCAGATTTGAAGAAACATAGTCAAACCGAAGAGGTTATGTATGAAGCTATAAAACGCCAAGTTCGGCAGTTCTTGCAGCACGAGATGTAATTTTCAGCAACCATCAAAATACAGTTGAGATTTCTGAATCAAATAATTTAAAAATGTTAAGTACTTTGCTATGAGAAAACTGCACATTTCTTAAATAACTGTGTGTGTGACGTCAATAGCAAAGTCATGTTTAGACCATGATATATAGAACAAGAACAACCGTTATAGATTTTGCTTGCCAAAATACTCGACAAATGTTTGATTAACCAGCGTTCTTTATGATCACTGCACAATATACGTACTGCACCAACTGTGCTTCACGTGGGGTTAACACCACCTGCCCCATATTCAAAATGTACGAGACTGTCGGCCCTTGAAAAAAAGGTCA